TCACTCGTATTCCCATCTGCGACTGTGTGGCCATGTTGGACCCTGGAGATCAGGGTCCGCCCACTCGCTCCTCTGTTAACCGTGTAGCTACTGCTTGGCTTCCTGCACGCTTACAAAAAAGCAAACAAGTCCTTTTAGGAGAAGTAAAAAGTTAACGGGGGAAGTTGCCATGGAAATGATGAGGAAATCTGATTGTTCTGCTAAAAGCATCCCAACGACCGAAGGCCGAAGCTCACTTAGCACCCCACGCCCCAAAACCGCTAAGAGGGTGGCAATGAAGGACAAAGTTTGGACAGTGTTTGTAAACCGGCAGCGTGTGGAGAAGCCCTGCAGGCCTGTTATCTGCTAGCTCAGGGTTTCTGGTTTCAAGCTACCATGGCTGGGTTTAAAAATAAACAAAGAGATGGGGAATGTGGGTTTTCTGCTGCAGCTGCTCCCACTCCACAAAACACAGCACGCCTATCAGATAACCTGAGGCAGCTCTTCACAAACTGCACCTGGGATGAAGGTCCAGATGGGTTTTGCAGGGCCTTCAATCGCCTAAAACAGTTTAGTCACATTACAACCTCAACCTTCAGCATATTTTAGAAGTTAGTGGTGAATAACTGTGGCATGGAAGGAAAATGAAGCACAAATAAACCCCAAAAAGTGTGGTATTAACTTGTATTCAGCCCCTTTCACCCTTAAATAAAATCCAGTGCAACCAGGAGTCTCATTATTGGTATAAAGAGGAAGGTATTCTGGTCAGATGAGCCCCAAAAATAAATATTTTGGAAACAGTGATTCACACATTTCTCCATGGGGAACAAATTTAAAAGAAAAAAAGACTTTATGACTTTCTTCTGTTGGAACAAAGATGATGTAAAAGAGTTCATACCTAAAGCTGAGCCAGCGTAAACAGACAACCACAGCTCAAACTGCACCGAGCAAAGCAGCGATGCACCGATCGCAGTTTTCTGGTCGATCACAATCGCCAGTCTTTAAAAAGTCTGACCTGATGAGGCTGTGATAAAGTGACAAAACCTAAAAATGTCAAAAGGGTATGAATATTTTTACAGCGGACTTGAGAAATTTAGGTTGACTAAGCACCAACTGGATTTAAGCACATATCCATCCGTTCACTTTGTATGTCACATGCAATGGATGGAAATATGCTAAAATCTGGATGTCAACCAATGCCTCATTAAAATCTGCCTGCTAATACAACCATTTTGCAATTTAAGAAAGGCTTTCTCGATTTAAATGGAATGAGGTTTTACTCTTCACACTCTAAAAACACAACTTAGTTAGTTTTGTCTTATTTCGAGTGTGATATTTGCATGAGAAACCAGACCAAAAGTACGAGTAAGAGTTTGTGTTTCTGCAGTGCGGTGCTTGGTTAACCAACATAACCATTTAGCAAACCTTGTTGCCATGGATTTGTGCCACTAAATACTCACAGCAGCAGAAAACGCCAGCATCTTTACTTTGGTTATATGAATGTTAAACAGCTCATAACGAACAAATTCGAGCTATTTTAAAGTTGTTTTTTATAATAAATTCAGGAAAAACATTGTTGGTTGATGCTGGTTAAGTGAGTTTGTCTGAAGCTGGGGTTCCTCTCCAGTTACTGTTTGGCAGCACGTGCTTCACATCTCCCACTCTAACTGAGCCCGGCGCGCCTCCGTCAGTGAACCGACTGTAAATTAATCTCTTTGTTGTCTAACAGCCTCGGCTCAGACTGGATCGGGACAACGAAGAGGGGGGAAACCACGAGTATGGACGCCACCAAACCAAGAACGTGAGTCCCAAAGTACAAAATAAGGCAACATTGTCCCATAAAGTCAACTAAAAGCTGGCTACGCACACACAAGGATAAAATAGAGTGGACAGTTTCGTCCCATATATATCCCATCAGGGAACTTTATCTGTTTATAGATTATCAATGCATTGAAACCTCCATAAACAATGAAAGGTCTGCAGAGGATATTATTGGCAGAAAATCAAAGCATGTTGATTTCCAAATCCTCTTTAGGCCCATTAATCCTCTCTGCTGGCTTTAGAGACAGGATGGACGAAGTCAGAGAAACAAAAGGCTGCAGTCTGGACCTTCAGACTGAACGTTTCCCCTAATTACACGATTACTTACAGAAAATCTATGTTTAGCAGGTTCAGACCTGGCAAACTATCTGAAGGAACGTTTGTTACAGTTTTTTTTTTTACCAAGTCAACCTTTTGTTTTTGTCAGTTTCAGTTTATTTATTTTACATTGGCTGTTATACTGCTAACTGCACTTACTGAACAAATTAAATCAAAGTTGTTTTTACATGTTTGACTGAGCTTGTGAAGATGTTGGTGTATTTAAGTGTGCTGCTCTGGTGCAGAGTTATCAAATACAGTTTTTTTTATTGGCTGATACTAAATCTTAGATATCTGTATTGGTATCAGAAGTGAAAATGTGTATTGGTGTATATCTATTCAAAATTTTATCAAATGTAGTTACTGCGTGCAGTTGAGTGATATAAATACTTCTTTAAGCAAGTAGCATCCCAAAGAAGTCAAATTAAAATGGAAATATTATTCAAGCAGGGTTTCCTTCAGTTTATTATAAGTCTGGCGGGCCACCAGGCTTTACTTGTGACACCGCCAGGCTAAATATTGCTTATTCATTGAATTTGTTTTGCAGTGTTTGCATTTTTAAGACTTTATAGTTGGTGTTCAGGTATTGATCTTCCAATAAAACATAATTATCAAGGGATATTTTCAAATTTCCTGTTAACTTTAGACATTTTTTAACTCAAAAACACGACGGGCTGCTGGATGAATCACTGCCTGAGCTCCACAACCACCAGGCTTAGCAGGTTTTCTGCAGGAAACCTTGTTCAAGTGCTCTATAACTGCTGTGCCATGCCGTCACAGACACACAGTTATCTAAAAGGGAAGTACTAAATAGTTTTCCCGTCATCGTTTTTATTATTAACGGTCAGTAGAAGCCTGGTTCTGTCCTGTCCGACTGCACCTATAAGTCTCCACACTCCAGACACTGTGGACAGAATATGGGTCAAAGCCGGCTCAGTGGACCTGACACCAGCTTACCAGCTACTGACGGCAGCAGTTATACGCCACACACAGCTGCCGCCGGGCCGCGTCAGAGAAACCGCTCGGTCTGATGAGGTGAAGGAGGATTCTCCTGACAGCTGCATGTCCAGTCATCACTTCGGCTACAGACGGATCGTTGCAAAGCTCTGGCCGGTCAGACATGAATGACTGGACCTCTACAGTCAGACAAGGCATTTCAGAACCTTGTTCGGACTCACTGTGGCTGTGACTAGCAGGGAAGGACTGGGAAGTGTGGGTTTTAAAGATATGGACCAGGTACAGGTACTGGGGAGAGTTTTCCAAACCAGTTTTCTTCTTCTGATTGGCGGACATAGATTGGCTTAATGGTCCTTATCGCCAACTTTGGCCTCTGCAGTTTTTTCACTAAAGTGTCAAAGTTTTGGTTTCCCATCTGGTCAGGCTTGTCTCAATAATTAATTTTTGCTTGACAATAAATTGTCCCAGTAATTACTGCAAGACCATTTTCAAGTAACATACTGACAATGGGCCTGTTGCAGTAAGCAATAAATCAATTAATAGCATGATAAGTTAAAATTAGCTCAATAATCATTTGAGTGATTTATCGTTTTTCTCTCTTTCTACCAAAAACTGGATGATAACGTCTTCAGTCTGGAGCTTCGGTCTCAACCAGCCTTTTCTTTTTTTATAGAGACTTTGTAATTCATTTTATTTGTTGTTTCCGTTGTGTTATTTATTTTGGCTCTTTAAAATGTCTTCCAGTCCAGGTGTTTAATCTTCATCAGAATCTGAGGATGTGTTCTTGCATTATTTTGTCATTATTATTATATTACTTGAAAATGGTGTCATAACAACATTATCATTTATAGCTAAAACTTCAGGGGCAATTTATCGTTCAACTAAATTTGTTACTGTGCCAAGCCTAATTGATGATGACTTAATAATGCAAGACCAATAAAAGTTTAATCTTGTAAGGAACACTGGAGAACATTTTAAATATCCAAAATAAAAAAACAACAACCAAAAACAATAAATACCAATACACCCAAAACAAAATTTCCCTTCACAAACTCTTCGACACGACGCAACTTACTTAAAATTTTTAATTTCTGCATTTAATCATAATATATTTTCATGGAACCGACAAATATAACATTTCTGATAACACTGTCAGTTTTGTTTTTAATCACCATTAATTAAAATTTATCGAGACAACAATAAGCCATAAGACATTTTTCACAATCAAATGATACACGATAGTATGGATGATAAATTGATGATCTTTACCAATTCTGTATAAGTAAGTTTAATTATTGTTTAATTAGCCAAGTCAAAAACTGTGAAAAACTGGCAGCAGCATTTACTTTGAGCTTTTTTTGTGCGCAATTGTCAAAAATCAGATGTTGGTCCACCATCGCATACCCACAATGAATTGAGCGCACATGGTAAAATATGTTCCCTAAAGTAATAAAAGCACAAGAATTGGAATAGAGACAATGCTAAATGTTCACACACTGCCAGGTTTAATTTTTTTAAAAGCATAACATGAAAAAAATATAGAAAATCAGGGTGTATTTAAATAATGTGAAATAATTCTCAGGTGTGCTTTAAGCCCGTTTCAACCAATCAGAACAAAGAGCCACGCTGCCAGCTTCATGATGAGGCTATAAAGCACCATGTGCCACATTTAGCCAACGTGTAGGAGAGGATGGGAAGTTTCCCCACTTCGCTCCTAAAAACGACCAAAAATAAAGAGTTTAATTCATTTATTTTCACTGTTTCTGTCTTTACACGTCCGTCAGGTCTGTAAACGGTTCTGTCTGAGAAAATAGCGAAGCTAGGCCAAAAGCAACGGCCAAGAGGCTGATCGTGTTTCTTTCTTCTGGATCAGGCTGATTAATTAATACGCCGCCGAATCGACAGGCTCGGTTCGGTTGTGTTACCTCGCAGTCGTAGAGGTCCGTTAGCTGGTCGATGATCCACTCCTCCAGGTTCAGCCTCTTCCTCAGCTCCTTTCGGTCGTATTTGACGGTAACCCGTCCCTGCTTCCTAACGGGAGTCTCCGGTTCCTCCGTGGTGCCGGCCGGCGTCTGGAAATATACCCGCGGTTGAGGGCTCGTCTCCGGGCTCGTTACAGCTGCCATTGTCGCTCGGTTAGGGGATGATTTTTCTCTTTTAAAAAAAAAAAAAAAAAAAAAAAAAAAAAAAAAAGGAAAATGGACCCCCCTCCTATCTGGAGGTGTGGAAGTGTAAAAAAAATGGGACTGTTGTTCCACAAATAAATAGCTGTGTGTGACTTGAAATCCCCCCCGGTAAGAAAAAAAAAAGAAAAGAAAATAACGGTCGCTGGACCTTTTGTTGTCCAAAATGGCTCAAAGGGACACTGACATGGGATGTCCGCTTCCACAAAGACAGACCGACTGCTGCGGTTAAAGAGGACGAGTAACCGGCTTATCGGGCTATTTCCAGCAGTCAGGCTCCCTGTTAAAAAAGGAGAAGGCAGCGGAAGCAGAGCCGGACCCAACTCTTCTGGTTGAGTACAAAGAGGAATCACACGTCGGTCTCTCCGTTCCGCTGGCCCCGGGGAGCAGCGTGGTGGGCTTTACTGGTCTTTTCCGGGATCCGACTATGATGGATCGGATCTTCTGTGTACGAATTGTTCACTGGTTTATTTTTTCAGCTTTGAGTGCATTTTTATTTTTATTTTTGTGTAATTGCATTATCATCGCATTTTAATAGTAGAGTAAATGAATTAATGTTCGTTCTCCGTTCCGCTGCTCCGAGGAGAGGAGCATGATGGGCTTTCCGGGTTTTCTCCGGGATCCAACTCTGATGGCTCGGCTAATTTTTTTGTTCATTTTTTCATCTATTTGTCTATTTTTTGTGCGGTCACTGTATGTTAATAGTATATTGAATAAAGTTATGTTCTTTTCTACCAAACATTATTATTATTATTATTATTATTATTATTGTTGTTGTTGTTAATCCAACCTGGTACTAAAGCAGATTCTGAACAGGTTATTTTGAACTGGACTAGATTTCTAGAAACAGGTTAAATATGTTTTTCCAAAAAATTTTTTTTTTTTTTTTTTTTTTTTGTAATACATTTTTGGGAAAGAAGTCAGAGCAGGAAAACAGTTTAATTTATTTGTGGGCAAATGATTTTACAAAATTGTTGCAGCCTGGATCATTGTTTAATTGAATAATGCAAAAATGAACTCTAAATATAGATAGATTGATTGATACTTCCTTATTGTTAAATAATAAACTCATACATGGCTCATTATTAAAGTTGTTAGCCTTACTAGTTAATTTATTTAAATTATAAGCTGATTAATGTACTTATTTACCCAGCATGTAAAAATGAGAGTTGCTAAAGAGCCTGAAATAATTTAATGTTAGCATGTTTTCATGCTGCGTCGGGATACATATAGTGAATGTTTCACACCTTGATCTCACACTTTAGCTTCAAAACAGCACAATAAAACCCAAAGACACATCATGCTGCTTAAGTTTTCAATAGGGTCTCTCTTCCGAGATTACAATACAAACCACAGGTGGAAATCAGCAGGAACAACTGTATTTTCTGCCTCAGTGTTGGTCTTGAAATGAAACTGATTCACCAGCAGGCGAAGGCCGCAGCGATAAGGTGTTAAAAGGAGAAACGCGCCGCATTTCTTCACAGTAGGTCCATTGTGTGGTCACAGCGGGGAGCCTCCTGCCTGGACAGGCAGATTGAAACTAAAGTTTGAATAACAACAGGAGTCAGGGAGGAGGTGCAGACAATCACTGTCTCTCACTTCTTTTATTGGTCTGTGTGTGTGTGTGTGTGTGTGTGTGTGTGTGTGTGTGTGTGTGTGTGTGTGTGTGTGTGTGGGGGGGGGGGGGTTGAACACGTGTGTGTCCTCCTACCGGGCAAATTTCACAGACAGCCATGGCAACAAGACATGAAACCTGAATTATTCAGAGAAAGGTCTGAAACTTACAGTCGAGTAAGCACACACTTAGACATGTGTGCTCAGACATGCACAGCTTTTCACCCACATTTCTGCAGCAGAAAAACTCAACAAACACGCTGCAAGGCGAACAAACGCTCTGTGTCTTCTGGAGAGAGGGAGAGACGTTATTAAAACTCATCAGTTCTGTCAAAATAATGAAGGTGATGGTGAGTTTGAAGCTGATATGGCTTCAAAGTAAAATCTGATTATTTTTTTTAAATGCCAAATCGTAGAAGCCAAATATTTTCAAAAGCTTGATTTTATTTCAGGTATACCTTCTGGAAGAACTTAAAGTTTAGATAAATGCAAGCTGTAACATAGGATTATAAGCCCGGAGCGGGCTGACATCACTGAGATGCTTTGTCTGGTTTTCTATGTTGCTCTGTATGTTAGCAATGCCAGAATGCAAAACAAACTCAATTGAGCTGAACCTAAAGAATACATTAGTGAAAAAAAAAATCTGATTTTCCAAAAATTAAATCTTCATAAACAGAAAATTTGACTAATCGATTAAATTGATTTATTGCCCAGCCCTTTATTTTTGGTGCGGTTTTTCCTGCCTAAAAAAAATGTGTAAAAATATTTAAAATGACACGTTTAGACCAGAGAATCCAGTAGTTATCTGGAGACTGCGGTAAACTCAAATCAAGTCAAAGTTTATTTACACAGCATATTTACAACAACCTCAGCTGAGCAAAGTGCTTCACAACAAACACAACATCACTGGTGGCTAAATGATAAAATAGAACATCAAATTAAGTTTTAGGAGAAATAATAAGACAATTATAAACTTGTGTTAGGGTTTGAATAAAAACCAAAACAATACTTAAACAACTGCTGCCGTAATGTTCTGCTGCAGAAAATTGCTGCATGTTCATCTCCAACAACCTATTTACCCCAATCCCTTAGAATTACATAAAATCAACTTTATTGGGCTTTCATCGTGTTATAATGTTATTCCATCATTGGTTCAGTTTGATCTGCGTTAAAACTGTTGTCTAAAATCCAGAGATTTTACACACATGTTGGGAGGGCCGGCTTCAGAAGTGGCATTTCCTGCACTGGTTCAGTGAGCCAAGAAGCCTTTGAAGCATGAGAGACAAAGAGATCTGCCACTGATCTGAAAACTCGAGTTTTTCCAGGGCGGCTCGTTGTTTTTGCCAATTTGTGACAGAATGAAGCTGCTCGTTGCATCAGATTCTGTTCTGTTCGCAATGTTTACTATTTGAGTTTTTCCTCCTTGTTGACTTTTTTTCTGTTTTATCTTCAAAAGGATTTTTCTTCAAGAATTTAAAAACATAGATTTTTTGTCAATCTAAAGATGTTTTTTTGTAAGAAATGTGACATGATTCGTCACGCCGAAGTGCCTCGAAGCAGAAGACGCTTAACTGTGGATTAACCGAATCGTTGACGCTTCTGAACGGGACGGATTTTAATGCTCCCTGCAACATCAGCGCTGAAGCAAGTTCAACTGGTTCTTTAACAGAAAACATTTCTATCATCTTTTATTTATTTTTTTTACATGTTTTGCACACTATTGATTTGCTTGTAGAGCTCCTTCAGTGACAAACATACTGCATCCTAGGTGCACAAAAAAGCGTTATCACAAATCCTTCCTCCCCACATTTTATAACCATTTATATGTTTATAGCCATCACTCCTCCCAACAAACGTGTTTACATCCCTGCTGACGCTAAGAAACTAATAAATAAAATTGTGATATAGTCATCATATGACAAGAATAAACTCATATGAGAGTAAAGTCATTGTATTATGATTCTATCCTCATACAACTTTATTCTTGTAGTTTTATTTAATTTCCTTAGAATAGCCCTAATACTCAGTTGGACATTATTATCATTATTTCCACTTATGCTAAAAGGTTATGAATCATCCTGAAAGAAAAATCTGTCATTTAAAGTTTTAAATTAACATAACAGCCATCTCTATAACGTGTTTGTTTGTTTGTTTGTTTGTTTGTTTGTTTGTATCTATCCCCATTACCGTAACAATGGCTTCTCTTCTGGGGGTCCAGATCATAAAAAAACAAAATTTATTATAGAAACATTTACATTAATGCACAAATATAACACTTTATATAATAAAATAATTAAACTGCATTAGAAACAGCATATTTTTACAAATCTACAATTATAAAACTGTATAATAAAATAATTAAGCAGAGCTCTTTTTAAAGCATTCGTTTCATGCTTAAAGCATTCATTGTATTAACATTACGCAAAGTTTGGCTAAATAACAGTGGATTATATGAAGCAATTGGTGTCTTACTATAATATTTCTAAAAGAAAAAAAGCACAAGAAGCCATTTAAATGAGAGGTTACTTAATATCCTCTCCACCAGAGGGAGCTGGAGGTCAGTTTGCATTTTATTTTTTGCAGTGTGTGGGAAACAATGAGGCAGACCAGACCTCTCTATGTAAATCTCCATTAAAATAAGAAGCTCTCCCCTGCTTGTGTGTATATGTGTGTGTTATCTTTATCACTCCATGCGTGAGTGTCCTCTGTTTGCACCTCCGTGACTTACTGTGATTTATGTGTGCACAACGAGGATTGATGTGTGCGCACATGCAGGTTACACCCTGCACAGCTGAAAATGGTTCATCCACATTCCTAACTGTTGCACAAACACCGAGCGTCAAACGTGGGCGCAGTTTGGCTCTGCCGCCACTAGATGGCGGTACGCTACTGAACGTGTGCCTCACATCTACCGTGAGAACCAGACAGAAAAAAAATTATGTCATTCAAAACATTTGGGCACGTTTGCAAGAGATAATTCAGCTGTAAATAAATAAAAGCCTGCAGTGAAAGCAAATGGTAGTTGTCTGGTAATCGGCATTGTCCTTGGATTGGTGCTCTAAGGGGGAGGGAAGCTATGATCAGGACGCCCACATGAGTGATTTTCTCCAAAACAACCCTGACAATAATCCTGCAGTGTTGTGGAGACAGCTCCAGACTCCAGTAAAAGCTGTCAGCGGCTGCACGCCAAAGTCTCAGGAATCTGATCAAGTTTTTATTGCTACTGTGGACTGAGTCAGGCCTCTCCCATTGAAACCAGAGCATGCACTGGATATGTGTGTGTGTGTGTGTGTGTGTGTGTGTGTGGATAGAGAGGGCAGTGTGTGGAGGACACAGTGAGCATGTCTGTCTTTTTTTTTTCTTAACACAATGTGTCTTTGTGAGTCCTTGGCGTTGCGTTGGAGAGAAAAATTTGTCCGTTTGCTGGACAGAGAGAACGAGAGAAGCAGGAAAGATGAGTGGAAGGGAGTTTTTTTCCTCTCAAACATCTGTTCATTTCTGCTCCTCCGACCTTTACCTCTGCTCTGTTTTTATTATTATTTTTATTATTGCAAGCTGCGTCTTGACTTCTCTTTTTGTTTTATGTGCAGCCAGAAAGTTGGTCGTTGACTTCCTTGTTGTGCAAAATGCCTCGACACATTCCCGCGCTGCGACCGGTTCCAGTAAAGAAACCACATTCGCCTTCTTTTCAGAAATCCCTTTCACTTTTAGCTGTGCTGCTCACCTCTGGGTGAGGCTTTGCCTGATCTGTTGTCAAAAACAAAGATGAAAAAAAAAAATACATAGAATAGATTGTGAAAATCT